TAAAGCCCTCCTGATCAGCCCTTCCAACTTATGTCGCTCTGGACTCCTAGCAGTGGGTAGTAATCAGAGGGCCAAAGGAGCTCTGGGAGTCTCCTGCTGATATCCGTTACCCAAGCCCTGGGCAGGCAGCACCTCCCTGTGGGATGGGTCTGGTCAGCATATAGGGCCCTCAGTTTCCTTCTGAAGGGAGTGGCCTAATACAATTACCCTTCTTTTTTTCTTCGTAGCTGTGGCAGAGTGATGAGTCTAGAAGATGGATGCAAGCTGGAGACCCTCCAGATGGATCTTCCTCTTGACTGCCTGATTCTCTGGGTCCAGAGCCTCATACCTGTTTTTTAAGGGCAGCTGGGGAGGTGATGGGGATTGGGAGGGCATTCTTTAACCTCTTTCATCAGGGGCTTGTTTCCATTTCCCCCCCCATCTGATGGCAGATGAGCTAAATGTCCTAATTTAAATTTCCCACCATCACTTTTTATCTCCTGCAAAGCTGGAATACACAAGCTGAATTAATGAAACTCCTAAACGCAATGCAATTTAAGTACCCAACTTACATAGTCCTGCAGAAAGGAGTAAGAAAGCATCTTTAGTTGCATCAAGCTCTGGCTGAGCAGGTAATGGGACAAGGTTCTAGTGACAGATTACTAAATCCATCTGAGATTGTTTTTCACTGTCATACAGCATTTGTTGAACAGGACTCATGAAGAAGTTACAGAAAGACACGTGCCATCAGACACCTATAAAACCTGTGAGAAACAGTTCTTAGTAGACTCTGAACTCTTAGTGTCAGCTAGACCACAAGAATGAGTTAACAGAGGACAGAAACAACAGCCACACTGATGTTTGCTTGGTATGAAGAGTTGCTTCTGTTTAATGTCATTAAGTAACATCACTTGAGATACTACAGTTTTATATAACAGTGTAACATCCATAAGTTTCTACATTTCCAGATTGAGACAAATACTTAAATTGATAATTTTTTTTTTTTTTAATTTTGCATTTCAGAAAGTGCAAGGGAGGTTTATAATACAAGGCTAGTTGCATGACTGGCTGAATTGGGTACTAAGGCTGTATTCAAGTTGACTTTCTTAGCTCTCCAGTTCAGCAACTGCTTAGGCATTTGATTTAACAATACCATTTCAAGTTTATACTTAATATTTGCAGGAAAACCTCTGACACATCAGTCATCACCACTGGCCAAGAATGTAGCTGTTACAGTGAGTTGTAACTAACTGATTTAAAAATCTGTTAGTAAAGAGGTTCTTGAGGAATGGCATATTTTTCAAGGAATGGAGTACTACCTCACATTAATGGCACAGAGGTGGTGCATCTGTTCACAAAGAGTCTAGGCATGGAGAAAAGCTGTTCTTGTCTTTTTTGCTTTCTAACATACTGGAAACATGCCACACTACACCATGTGATATCTCAAACTGAGCAACATCAAGGACATTCACTGAGATAAAAAGCAAGATATCTACCTGCTGGATCCATTTGTCTGCCAAATCACCTCAATAGAAAAGAAATAGAAATCTTGTAGATTTCCCTCCCTGAAAAATGCCACATTAGCACCAAGACGACAGTTAGTGTCCAGAACTACCTCAATGTTCCGCAAGAAATGTTTAAGCTTATCTGACCCTACAGTGTAGGCCTCTAGTATTCAGGGCTCCAGCAGTGCTGTTGTAGACTCCGCAGTCCCTTTATTACACGTTTATGGCAGAATGATACTTTTACCATTAGTTAAATAGACTAGTTACATTGCTGTAGCTCAGAGACCAAGCCATGTGTCCAGTCACCAATTAGAACTGAGTAGCATCCACTTTACAACTGGCTGCTCCTGTGATAAAGGTAACTGACCTAGTTGTTTAAGGTGTGGAGTTTTAGCTACTAATTCAACACCCTTATGTGAAGGCACCACGTCTTCCCCAGGTACAGTAAGTTCCTATATTTTAGGACAGTAAGTGCTACATAAAGAGAAATGGTGACTGTTTACAAAACATTAGTGCTGCTAAGCTCTGCTGTAGAAAATTGCAAAATACTAATGGAAAGTTAACATCCACCAATTTACATTTGGGTTTCCAGCGTGAGTCAATATCCCCATTTGCTTTTCCCTGAATTATCATCTTCACAGCATGTTTTTTAAGGGTTCATGCTTCAATCCACCTGGATATGTTTTAGATTACAGACATCATGGAATGGCAGCAAGAATGGCAGACATCAAAATGAAACAAGTAGAAAAATCATGTTGAGAGGAGGTCCAGTTATTCCATCTTTTCTGTCCTTTTCTGGTTTTACCTAGTAGGATGGGAAAGACTTAGTGTTAGCATGGCTACAAATTATAGCTTTATTGCTTATGCTAGCTTAGAGCCACAGAGAACAAAACCTAAGCAATAAATACCAACACTTGTCTAGTGTTAGAAGCTAGACAGTATTGCAGGGGAAGATTTAAGAGTTATGGCAGAGGAATAGATTTGCTTGTTAAACAGTTCATGTTCTCTAGTCAGTCGCATGAAAATTTGAGTCACATTAGTTTCTAGTAACAAAAGCTCTTACAACAGCTTTTGATTTTTTTTACACCAATTCACCCAGAGTCCAAACCTGCAATGGTTATCTTAATGGTTATCTTCAGATATCTCCTAAAGATAGGTATTAAAGCATTAAGTCAGCCCCTCCGAGTTCGGCAGCATTTATTTACTCATTAACTTTCCTCAAGGAAAGGAAATCTAGATCTACTGTGGCATATAGATTTAAGTCTGTGGAAGAATAAAGTCTTTATTTCTAAGAAAGAAAAGCTGTCTGTGCTTAGAATGCAGCTATGTACAAGTCTGAGTAGAGGTACTCTAGCAGAAGAGTTCTTTCAGGGACTGTTTGTCATACTTCAGACAGCATTAGCATTAAGCAACTGTAGTTTTTAGCCAGTTCGTTACCAAAGATTTCATCAATCAGTTTCAGAGAATGAAGTAGGTTGTTTCCTTAGTGGAAAACTTACCTGATCTATGCAAATGGGTTGCCAAAAGGATCACCAAGAGGAGCAGAAGGTAGTTTCTGAGATTCCTTCTAAGGAAAGAGATAAGCTGTTATTAGATTTCCAGGTTTCACCAGATTTACTCTGCATGACTATATCAGCTAGTTCCTGTTCCAAACACCTGGAAAGAATGCCTCAGAGCCCCTAAATACACCTAAACTATATTGCTTTAAACAAGAGGAAAGGGCTCTAAGCTGTGCTAGCAGTTATCCTAGTCCATGATAAGGTATCTTTCAGAAAGGCTGAAAAGCCGTGTGTGCTTACTGAACGGTCCATTGGAACCGAGCCAGCAGAGTCATGATGAGATCTCTTTTAGCCAAATGCTAGAAGTATTAGCTCAGCATTCTGGAATTGGACCAGAATTTCCACCAAGGGCCTCAAGTGCTGTGTCCCAAATGAAGCGATGTGGTGAAGCCACTTCCTCCCCCAGGGGCTACTGAACATGGAACCTCCCATTAGTTCAGCTAGAGAGCAGTTTACTCTAAAGATGAGTAAGTGGAATACTTCTGCAGCTACATTTTTTTATACTCTTTTGTAGAAGTTCCTAATACTAAAGAACTTTCTGCTAGTGCTTGCAACTTGGGGAAATGGTTATGGAGACAAGCCAAATGGAACAATACTTTGTTAGGCTTCTTGCAACAAATGGCCTCTGTTAGACTACATATTAGCCTCAAAATGCAAAAAGTTTTTGTTGTATGGTCTCTAAAGCTAAAACTAAGTCAGTGCTCAAACACAGGCAACCCTGTTATAGATCAAGACTTTTGTTGGAGTTTTGTGGTGGTGGTGTTGTTTTGGGGTTTTTTTTTTTCCTACTTACAGATGAGGCACTGGAATGGTCTGTTTTAGCTTGATTTTGAAACAGGTCATCAGCTGGCGGCACACTTTGTCGAGGAACAGGCTTTGGTGGTTCTAAGAAAGAAAGACAAACTGCTGTAATCACTTAACAGCTTTAACAAGTACTTACATCTGCCTGTATAGCAACACCAAAGCTCATCTAATTAGAAACACAAAGCTTACATGGAAGTTGCTTTGAATGGCCTCACAATTTTAACTTCTGCTTGTCCCTCACTACACCTAAGCTAGATGGAAATTCTAACATTGTACATACCTGATTCACATCGATCTAGTCAAGTAGTTTAGGCACTAGGTGTCAGTGTTTGCCCACTGCCTTTGATCAATAATTTGTTAGGGGAGGCAGTTTTTTAACCCTCTGTTTCAGTAACCACTAAGTCAAATTTTTAGTTCTATCAGAAAAGACTGACCAGCCATCTGAACTCCTGAGCAGATATCCAATCAGAAGAGTTAAAAAAAACCCCCAACATTTTACTAGTCATTTTGGCAGACAAATATGGAAGCTTGCTATCTTCCATATCATCATGATCTGTACTATCTTGAAGAATGCCCACTTTACTACTAAAGTAATTGCTGCAAGCTCCAGGAGCACCTGTAAGGCTTTGCTGCTCTCCTTTCCTTGCTGGTACTGCAGGTGGCTTTGTCAGCTGGAAGTCTCTGAACATTTCCTTGATATCCTTCATCTCTTTATCACCAAGTGGATCCAGGGCAATGAAAGCATCACTCTCTTTCTTGGATAGCTCCTTCTGTTGCATAGTTCTGGGTGGTGGCTGAGGTGGGCTAGTTGATGCTGGCATGGAGGGCAGTACAGACGACGTCTGACCAGGTAGTGTTGAAGGTGGGAACACGGTACTCTGGAAGGGATTTACAGCACCGGTTGGCTGTGCCCACGGACTAGATGGAACTTGTGCTGGCTGTGACCAGAGACCAGAAGACTGAGTGGCTGCTGGACCAAAAGATGCAGGTGGTTTCCAGTTTGGCACTGCTTGAGTACCAAAGGCAAGTGGTTGAGTAAATCCCGTAGACTGAGCAGGTACCACGGACCCAGGAAAGACTGATGCAGCCTGAGTGAAGCTAAGTGTCTGTACATTCCATGGTGATGAAGATACTGACAAGCCACCTGAGGGGAGATTGTTGTTATACAGCACTTCAGTCATCTGAAGACTGCAAGCAGGAGTATATCAATTCCACAAAGAGTACCAGGGAAACATTTTCATTGACTGTTTGCCATAATCACTCAGTTTACACTTTAAACCCAAACCATTTAGGGGGAAGGAGGCTGAGAGAAGGCAGTTAATTTTTAAATTTTTTTCTACTTTGCTGCATTTCAGTTCTGAAAGAAAAAATTGTGGTTGGTATAACATAAGGAAGAACATACTTAATCCTAGCACAGAAGTGACAGATATATTCGCCATTTAGTTACCTCTGCGTAAATGACTAAGACACTGGAGCAGTGTTACTCTGAAATTGCAAGTTGTGCTTGGCTCCCTTGAGCCTAGTGTACCTGAAGCAGCCATCTGCTGTCAAAGTTAAAGCAAAGAAACCCTGATCCTGTTAAGGATGCAGAGTTTAGGCCTCTATTCACAAAACTTAGTAGTTTAGGGCAAACAGCACACGGATTAAAGAATACAACACTACACATGAAGTAAAGGAAAACTAGAACCACTGTTTGGGTGTTAGCAGATATCTTGGACTGGGGCAAGACCTTCACTTTGTGAACTAACCTAGACCAGCCAATGGAGGTGCTGTAGCAGGACTTGTTTTGAAGACATCCAGTGGACTAGTTGACACAGGTCCTGTTTGTGCCACTGAGGTCAAGCTAAGGCTCTCCATAGCTGGCACAAAGAAGGCTGAGCTGAATAAGTCATTTGATGCAGCCTAGAAAGAAAACCATTTTCTGTGAGATGGCATGACAGAACACATCCTTTACAGATAAAGTTCATGCCTATGGAGATGCATGACATTAAGTAGGTATAATATATAATAGTCACAAGTCAACAGCAGCAGAGAAGGACTTAAAATGACTGAATTATTTGCTGTTGTAATGAGCTTCCCTCTGCCCCCCACTCCTCTAAACAGTATTGATCAGTCTGCAATGACCCTACAGTTGTGGCAAGGCAAGCAACAAAGTTTTGCATCAAGTACAAGACAAATGCAGCTGACCCAGAGCCACCCTGTGTCTAATCAGGCAAGACATTGAGAGTGTCCTCAGTAGGAAAATACTGAGAAGCTACATAGGTTCCTGTATGCTAGAACTAGTATCTCATTGTTATGAAATCATAGGTTAACAGGCTATCATAACAGGTTCTGGCATTATATCAGGTGTTAATATGTATAGCAGCATACTTACCAGACCTTTACAGAAGTATGGCAGCATTAAGGAAGAGAGTATAGAATTTAGTGACCATAGCTACTATGGAGCATTTGAGAATATTAGAAAGTACCATGGCTGCAGACAGGTTACAATAAGCATGACAGGCAGAAAGGATGTGCTGTGAAGCTACTTAGCCAGTTACACAGTATGAAGGAAGAAAAGCTTCCTTCACCCAACTTCTCTAAGTAAAAGCATGCATATCACCATAAATTACTTGAACATAGTTCACCTTGAGAGACCTCCTTCCTCTTCCTGGCTTGGTACTCTGTGGTGGTGGGCTAATTGTTATAGACTCATTTGTCATGAATTGGATATGGTATTCAGAATCCAGCTTTACTTCATTCTGCAGAGATACTCCTTTGGAAGGACCTTCCACAAACAGGTTTGATGGGGCTTTAAGAAAGCCATTGTGTTCTCTCTGTGGTACCCCATTTGGAGTTCTTGCTGCAGGCAGCTTACTCTCAAGTGGCCACTGGCTTGTTAGTGCTTCTCGTTTGCCAGTTCTATTAGAAATCTGGTCAAACTGTTTACCAAAGAGGTCACTATCGCCATTTGGAGCACCATTACCCTCCGATGTCAAGGTATTCGTATTTTTCTTCTTCTGATCAGGTTTTAGAGAATCAGATGAAGGTGGTGCAGATTGGTCTGGCTGTGTGAAAGGATCATCACTGAAAGGGTCTGGATTAGGTGTGGGAAAGAAGCTGAGATTGGTAGAGAAAGAACTCTCAGGCAAGAAGGGTGGCTGTGGTTTTGGTTGCGGAAGAGAGGCTGTGATGCCATTCAGGAAGCAATCATCTTTTGTAAAAGTCTGTTTGGTCTCAATTTCAGAATTAAGATCCACTAACAGAATCTCTTTAGCTTCCTATTTGTTCAGAAAGAAAAATAAAGTTAGTTTTATGTAGGATTTGCTGCACAGTACACAAGCTCAAGGAAAATAACTGCAATAAGAGACATTCTAGTATCTAACACACTATACTAGTAAATACTCAAAGTCACACAGACAAGCACTGCTGTCATAGTCAAATCACAGCTACTTGGTTTCTGAAACTCAGTGCTAAAAGCACTTGTTTCCAGATCCCATAGTTAAATATCAGATGTTTGTTCTTTAGCCAAGTGACTGTAGAGTCATCAAGCACTAATTACACCTCAGGTTTCACTTGAGCCAAGAACGCATTTGAGTTCTAGCCTTTAGTTTTGACTAGTTGTGAAATCACACTGCCTTCATGTGATGTCAAGTTGCAGTTTCAGCTTCAGAGTAAGACTGGAGAGCTATTTGCTGGAGGAACAGTAGAAGAGTAAGACTTGGTCAGTAACTGGATGGACACCACCAGTTGTATCATGGCTGTTGGTGGCTTACATTGTCAGAATAAAACAGAATTTTGGGGGGTCATACTAAGCTATGACAAGGTTTATGCACATTATTGTGCAATTAAGCTACATTTTGAGCTAGAGCTACTAGAATGACTTTAGCTACTCTAGTTAATAAGTGGATACTGCTACAGCCCTACAACACTAGTACACTGATGATAACTAAACAGATGTCTCAGTGAAACCAGACACCAGGACTAAAAAGTAAAACCTCTACTTATTAGGACTAAATTAACTTTCAAAACAAAACCCAAGACATCTAAGCTAGACTCTACTTACTGTGGCACTGCTCATATCGGGAGGTGTTGACATAGCCCCAAACAAGTCCATCTGGTCAACTCCCTTGAAGACAGAAATGTTGAAACAATTGGTATCTGTTAGAACTCTTGCAAGAGCAAGAATCAAGCATTATGTAGATCTACTGTAAGCACATCTATAAATACTGCATTTACCATACAACATGGAAACAGTCAGTTATAAAACCCTTAATGGCATCAGCATTAAGTTCTAAAGTTTAACATACCAGTTTCATTTTATCAGCTTGATCAACTGGTACTGCTTCACCACCATTCTGTAAGAGATGGATAACAGTGTCAGCAATAGGTGGAATATCAAAACTTGCCTTAAGCAAGGGACTTGCAGGCTTTAAAGAGCAAGTGATGGAAACAAGAAGCATGAGGGAAATCACTACTCGGTATTAGTTCTGTAGACACATTTTACTCCCATTTCAATGTAATTGCACATCTGACATTACCTCCATAATGGTGTCAGCATAAAGAAAGTCAAAGCTAGTTGTGGTGCAGCAGCATACCTTATCAAGTGAGGCTGAGCTGGAGAAACTTACCTCAGTCTTACTTGCTTCTTCACTCTAGAGAAAAAAAGAAAGCTATTAGGACCTAGGTATCATGTAGAATATCAAAAGCCTCTCACTTTAGAGGAGCTTACCAGACCTAGGTAATCAGACCGCTGGTACAACTTCCAACCAATAGCTTCAAGCTATTGGGTTCAGACAGACCTCAGTATCAAATCTTCCAAGAGCCCAAAAGTCAACCAAAGTTGAAATAAGCTTTGTGTCTATGCAGAGTAATGCAGTTTCTATATTTTTACTCACCTTTTTCTTTTCCTTTTCTTCTTCCTTCTTCTTCATATTATATATTAGCTGGAAGAGGTCCTTAAGATCAACAACTAGAGGCTCAGCCTGAAAAAGAATGTATATTTTAGGCCATAGACTACTTTTTCCTGGACTTCTACTGAAGCAATATGAGCAACAAGCCAAACTTTCCTAAATGGTGCAAGAGTTATGTTGAGACAACAGGAAATTCAAGAGTATAAAGGGCTGTTTAATCTTCACACAAGAAAGCTTATGCAGAATCCAAAGGGAATAGAGCACAACCAGCTTAGAACTATTGTTGACTCCAAAGGGAAAGTGGCTGTATTTGTGCTCAGCCTGCTATGTTTTTGATAAAAAGCTTGTAGTACAAGATTTCATAAGTGCATGGCGAGTCCTATAAATGCAAAATTTATCCAGGCCTTCTGGTTGTCTCCTGAGAGAAAAAAAATTCTGCATTCATCTGTTTTCTGCTGACCCCAGCACTGAACATGGAGAAAGCTTCTATAATACTACATTTATTTTAAACAGTATACAAATAGCAAATGAGCAAGGCAAGCATAAGGTATGTTGTCACCTCAAGTGAATAGAGCTGAGACTAACTTTAAATGGGATCTGTGTCAGGATGACAGTTTATTGTGAATTAGAAAGGAATGGCATTCCCTGCACATCTATTAACAAGACTGTTGTTGCTGAGATGGTGGCAGGTTCAGCTGCACTGATTTGGAACTCTTTCTTTAGGCATATAGCAGCTGTGTGAATGTCTAAAGACAAGTCCCCCTCTTCAACCACTACCATTGGCTCAAGCAGAGAATCCACTGAACATATCTCAGTGTTTACATCTGAGCACCATCCTGTCCTAATCAACAGTTTTAGACATGCAAATGCAGGAAGAGCCATTTCAAGGGTTACTAACTTTGACAAAGAGTACAGCTGCAGCAGACTAAAGCTGCAGAAGTCCTTACTTCTCAGGTAAACAAGTTTGTGTTAAAAACAACTAGCAGCATGTCAACCATAGTGAAATAAGGGAATAGACTCCAAAGTACATCCAAAAGGCTTTTTTACTTAATCTATTGCTTCATTGAAACCAATATAACACAGAACTCTGATAAACTAATAAAATAGACTTAGGAGAGAGTGTTATAGCTGTTACTGAAGTGGTAACGTGCTCCAATAAGGAGCCCCTCAGTTCCACCTGAGGGTGGTCTTGTGAACCCATTTCACAAGTTCCACCTGAGGGAGGTCTCAAGCTGCTAAGAAATTCTCCAGGAGGGTACGCAGGGATACATAAAATACATTTCTAGCTTTGAAGTCTTGGCTTGTCAAGCCATTATAGTGACTATTATAAAAACATTGTAATGACAAGCTAATAGATAATAAATACTTAGCTTCAGATCATTTATGAAGCTGCATAATTCTCAGCAGTATTTTTAAGTAGCTTGTTTCCAACACTGCTTATATACAGATTCGCCTCAGACAGACAAACCTTGCACACACACTTTCTGCATGGAGAGAACCTATCACAGACAGATCAGAATTCCTATCAGAAGTAACTCTAGGGCCACCAGATCTGCCATTCACTGACCCCAGAATTGCCATTGCAATTGAGTAAGTGACTTCTCTGCAGCACAAGACAAAGCATCACAAGAACTAGACTAGTGGATTTCTATACTTCTGTTAATTCTGAGTGAAGGTGTAGCCATTTTACTCAAGAATTAGTATTCTCACTGAGAGAAGCCCGTGATAGTGGCTGTTCATCTCACTAATGACTTCCTTTGTGCATGAACAAGTTCAGCAATTTTACTCACAATCAGCAAGGCTATTTGAGTGTTATTATTCTGGACTACAAAGAAGCTGTACATGACAGAAGCCAGTGTGATCCACAGTCAGTTCCTGTGGTCCTCCTCTCAAAAAACAGTCTATCCATCTGTGCTGGTATTCTCCATAGGAATTTTGTGGTATTACCAGCAAAATACTACAACTTTATCACATGTTAAATGTTTACACAATAGCGTTTTTCATAGCAAGTGGAAGAAGGGTGTCTGATCAATACCTGTTGGGTGGTTTTTATGGCAAAAAATTGGTGCTGGCCTTCTCCTCCACATATATAGCCAAAGGCACGACTGTCTGTTACATCCCGAGCAATAAAGGAGATTTTGTTTACTGGATGCTCATGCTCTATGACCTAGAATTTGGAAAAAAATAATTATTGGTTTAAATTGCTGGAGACATAATAGCTGATCATTCTAACTACAGAGATTAGCAAGACTCTTAAAAGTCTTCAGTTCAAGACTCAGATTTATCAGCCTTTGACTAACCACAATGGGATGTAGCTATCTTTCTGGCAGGAGGATTTAGCATTACAACCCATTTCACAAGCCAATTTTTATATACAGAAGTGGGGCACTATGCCATTAAGGAATCTAGGTCAGACTGGTCTAACTTCCAAGTGTCCCACTTGCCACAAGAATCACATTAAGAAAAGAAGTTATATCTTACCCCAGTTTTCTCATCTATTATCTTGATACCAGAGAGGGAGATGTTTACCCCGATCTTCTGTTTGTGTTGACCCTGGGACCGGGCTGCCACTGCCATTCCCTAAAGTGGATGAATACCAAAGTATTGATCAGATTTTTGACAGACTGAGCTTTAACTTGCTCCCTTGCATACCTCATGAGGCTATGGCTGTGGCCGTACAAGTGTTAATCCAACTATTCCTACACAACTGTACAGCTAGAGCAGAATTTCTCTTGCAACTTATGCTTGCAAAGGTTTGAAGTGATACCTCAAAATTAGACTTTCTTCTATAAATATTTTAGAACTTTGAAACTTATTTTAGTTCACAAAACTGATGCACTAGCAGCACCTTTACCTGCTTTTCTGGTCTGATTGAAGATACGTGAGTGTTCTGTACTCCAGAAGTAATAGTCTTTGCTGCTGCAGTTTCATTTATTTTTTGGTTTATCTGTACCTCTTGGGGTCACCATTGACACAGGATGTCACCTTGTGCTTTGAGGTCATCATTAAACTGCACAACATTCTCCCTCCCCATCTGAAACCCAAGCTCATCATTTCTGATCAAACTCATACTATTAGCACTCACACTGGGTGCCTACAGCAGACCCAAAGAAGTGTTCCCAAGCTGTTAGAGGAACACTGCCCATACAGCTTTAGAAGTAACATCCATCTAGGATGGTGATGTTATTACTACGTTACATTAAGCTATACTTAAGTTGTGCCAAAGTGACCATTTGATGTGCTTTCTGAAGGCTAACCAGAGGTTGTTCCTTACACGTCAGCTCAAGCCCTTACCTTCAGCTTCATCATTGAGTCCTGACTCATTTTGTCTCCTCTTGCCTCTGGGACATCATCAATGCCAATCAGTTTAGCTTTGTATCTTACACCATCACCTTTGAATCTAGCCAAGAGAGATTCATCTGTCTTTTCCGGCCCTGGAGAAAGAGAAAAGGTTTGGTGGGTCTGTTTGTTTTGAGGGTTTGTTTTTTGTTTGTTGTTTGGTTTGGGGTTTTTGTTGTTGTTGCTGGGTTTTTTGTGGATTTTTTTTTGGTGGAGGTTGTTGTGGGGTTTGTTTTTTGGGGGGGAGGTGGGCATGTTTGTTAATTTGTTTTTTAAGAGAGAAATGTCTATGCTGTGGATTTGAGATCTTAAAAAAAAAAAAAACAACCCTCCATAGAAGTACATATTAAAGTTGTCCCTTGAGTATAGCTGACAAACAACCTTTAGTCCTTCCAGTTCTGTGTGCACTGCAAGATAGTTAATCCTTTAAGGTCACAGTGCTCTTGCAGAATATGGCTTCAGTTCAAAGAGTGTAGTCCAGTGCTTTATATCTGGGGACTCAAGAACAATTGTTCACCACATAAAAACCAAATATTTTCAGGCCACAGCCAAGTACATATAGGTGCTAAGAAAAAATACCAAGCAGAAATGGTACTTCCCATGTCCATACAGGATGTTCAGTAAAGCCTTTAGGGGTTATCCCCTTGTTCTGGTGTAGTCAGATCTCTTCTTGGTGTGTAAGAATAATCTCCTAGTTCCCACACTAGCACTTTCTATCAGCATCATTATTTCTACAAATCCTGGTACTCCTGTCACTCTAATTACTTGGGATTTTAGCTAATTTATTATTTCTGTTCTTCCTGCTACAAGGAACTGCTTGCCTTTCTTCTCTGCATGTTCAGCATACTTCAGGTGTGTACCTAGGTGTGGATTTTTGTATGAGGTAATTATATTTACATGATCTAATCTATATTAAAAACACATCTATTATCTGATCTACATTAATTCTTGTGGAATTAGTTTTCTAGCTTCTCTCTACTAGAATCTGTATCCAGAACAAACCTTCTGCAAAAGATTTAGTACACTGAGGTGTTCTAGAGGTAAACATTTCTTACCTTTCTTTTTTTCCTTCTTTGATGATTGTGCCTTTGGTGGAGCCTGCTGCTCAGGCTGGGTGTTGGTAGTAGTGGTTTCAGCTTCAGCAGACATGATGGGATATTAGCCAGCTATGTTTGCTGCAGTTTTAAAAATAGAAATAAAAATTAGCAGGCAGACACAATATTTTAACTTGAAGAAGTATTCTTATTAGAACTGGTAGTCCAGTTTTGTTCCACTGAATACTGAAGACTGCTAATGCCTGAAAGTGCTAGTAGTTATCATATAGGAAGTCTGACTCAGTGTCAGGCTACTCTCTAAGTTATAGCTACTAGGTGATGAACCCTCACCTCAGTAATACCTAATCAGTAGATCACACTGACCTACATCAACAACAGGCTGTATTTGCTTCAGCCTGTTTTAATCTGTCACCCTTTAAATTTTTACCCTTAAAGCTATTTATAGAACCTCCGATGTTTTGTCCTATTCTCCTTCAGCACTGCCAGCTGTACCTCTGAAGTAGGATAGGGGAGAATGCAAGAAACACTTGCTAGGATTGGGTCTAAACCCCCATGAATATGATGCCAAAACATCCAAAAGAAGCCACCAGTTATTATTCATGTTTCTATGACTATCAGAAGTCTGAGGTTATATCAGTCAGCAGACAAAACCAGATAATTTCCTTTAGGCTGCAGACACTGTTCCAGAAAAACATGAGAAAACCCCAAACGAACACCACACCCCTCACCTCTGCTTGTCTTAACAGTAATCGAATAACCTTCAGGTTTTAAAAAACCCTGTAAGTTGGCAAGAAACTATGGACCTTAAAGACCTAAATCTATGTAATGCAACCCTTTTGCCTACGAGATACGTTAAAAAAAATAATCTGCAGTCACTATGTTTGGTTCCTACACAGCTGAAGCCTTGACTCACACTTAGCAAATAGAGGTACTCATACACTGGATTTCTATAATTATGAAGATCATCTATACCCAGCCAGAAAACCTGACCATTCACATCTCCTACAGAAACCATTTTATCAGTCTTCTGCCTGGGATGTTGCAGTGTCTTCAGTTAAGTTAGTCCCTTGCGTTTTAGGGTGACAAATGAAGTTAAGAAATTGTTTAGGTGATTAAGTAGTTTGGCTACCCTCTAATTTCCACTACAGCCAGGCAAACAGCCACAGACCAAGCCAGCCCTTTTATCCAGCATTTGAGACACACTGTATGCAGATACAAGTGCTGGAGCATTGCATATCCTCTTGCAATATAAGTTTGTTATTCACTATAGCCAATTCCTCATTTGCCTTAGTTACAGCTGATGTTGTGTCCATACTTGAAATTTACTTTCAGGGTCTTTCAATCCTACCTTCCCCTGTTCCCTCAATTCATTACTATGTCAGTAACTACAGACTGACTTACCCAGCTTGCCACTAACAGAGTAATGGATGTCAGTACTTAACTGATTCTTAACCTAGGAAAAACACAAACACCTAGGTCTTTAAGAAAGGACTTCACCCTGAAAGTTCCATTTCCATTTAACCAGGAGGGAGGCCTTTAGGCAACTAGCTGTTAATGTAAGCAAAATTATGTCTGTCTATCTGCTTACCAGATGGTTTATGAATTGCATTGGTCAAGTAAACCAACAGAGATAAAAGCAGACATTACCTATAAGCAACCTGTCTGGCCATAGGGAACATTTGATGCAAGGGAACAAGTTGTTGCTGAGAAAGTTTCAAGTGATTCTGAGAAGTAGATGTCAGAGGAAGAGTTGATATAGAAGTCACGATTATGTAAGAAATGTTACCATTGAAAGAGTGGCTTGTGTGTCCATTCTGAAAAAGGATCATGGGGAAAACTATTAAGTTGACAGGGATTTTGCAGGCTACTTGCACTAGTGCTGAAACAGTGTACCTATTGAAAACCACAAATTATAGAGACAAAATGAAGCCAACTGAATTCTACTCTAAAACTAGACTTGCTTGCTCGTATAGTTTTGGGTGGAGATAGCCTTTAGACATAATCATAAGGAGCCCCTCCCTAGGTTTATCAAGTCCTTCAGAATTAGAGATGAAGGAAAGAGAGTTAAGGTTGAATCATAAGTTAACCACCCATCCTCATTTGGAAGACTACTGTTTAGAGAATAGAAGGAAAAGGCCCAGAAGATACAGAGCTAAGACTTGCTCTCAAAAAGCTGAGTACAAAGCTCTTGGACATTCTGCCCTGCTCCATGCTGGTAAGAAGAAATAACTACCTCAAGGCACTGAGTCCTGTCTGTCAGTGATCCTGCTTTTCTGATTGAATTATTAGAGCTACACCAAGCTCTGATATTTTACAACTACAGTATCTCACGTTGAAGTGAAATTAAGAGGCAATAACGAGTAACTTTGAAAAGAGCAAATACGCACTTGCCTCACTTTGGCAACTGTAAAGTGGTAGAAATCTATACAGGCAGCTGCCATCTTTAAACTCTAGTCATCATTGCCATCTATCTTCATCCTGTGGAAGCCAGACCACTTACATGCATAGAACCAGACAGCACAGAACTCCAGGGTGGAGGAAGACGGGCAAGGATACCCATAGCTCTGGATGAACCTGTGCAAATACCCACTGTCTTACTGTGGAGCAGCTCATTCTTGGTGTTAGCAATGTAATTTTAGGCCAGTGAGGACTTTCTAGTTTACAGTACAGACTCTCCTATTTGGTACCTGGCATGGCTCATCTCTCCTGGTGAGAGTTCACAGTATGTGACAGTTATTTATCATACCTTTGAAGAACACAATGTCTTTAAGAATCATCTCAGGAGCAAGAGAATTAGTGAAACTAAGAATGCAAGGATAAACAAAGGCTACCTTAATATACGTTCATATTTTAAATAACTACTTCTTCAAGCCATTATGTAGCTTCAGCTAGCAGTAGCCTAGTCTGTTCACCATACAAGGGTCTCAACTACAACTACAGCTGGATTCTGTGCTTTAGGTCTTCATCACACTCTTAAGATTGTCTTTTCTTAATGGAAAGGGCTGGTGTGCTCTACATGCAAGTAACTAAAATGAACTTAAAACTTTCTGTTTGTAGTTCTTGCTGTTGCTTGGAGACTTCCTTTCACAGTACTCAGTCCCTTAGTATTTCCTTACTTTGCTTGCAGGAGTAAGGCAATAAGACTAGAATTGCTCTATTATGGTTGAGTTTTGAGTTCCTCCATTCCTATAGGGATTATCATGTGAAGAGCAAGTACTGATCATTCCCTGGGAAAAGACCATGTCAGGCATTCAATATATAGTCTTTAAAGAATGACCTCTTACCTACTATCTCAGGTTAGGCTACTCTACCTTAGGAAAAGTCTTGAAACTTCTGGCATACCATGCCCTTGGTGTCTTCTCTGAACTCTCTACAAGGAGAGCTGCCAGTAATGACAAGTCATCCTTGAAATACCTGTTCCTTAGCAAGACTTGTAAGAACAAGCCAAACAATTTTGTTGAGCAACATTTAGTTTCCTTTAGAGATGCTTTCACAGATATCCTCTATTTGAGTAAGGAAACATGGTAGCTTCCCTTAATGACTACACTTTTGTCCTGTGCACTAGAGAATCAAGAATCTTCATTACGGCTGTAGTATGTCATGGGATTAAGGACTGAACAGTAATCCTCAGCAACATACAGGATTGTTCTATTCCTCAGCAGACAAAGAGAAAGATCTCAATGTTGATGAGCGATTATTTGAGAAGAGGTTAGTGTCACCCCAAAAGTCAGGCTAAACTGAACACCTGCTCAGCAGTTTAATACTTTGTCCTTTTCACAGCATGTGCTCCTTCTTTGTCCCTTGATACTGCAAGTACATGATTCAACTCAAAGAGTTATTGCATGTAAATATTAACCTCAAATTAGAATCTGCAAGGCCAGGAGAGGACAAGTAAAGCTTTCACTGCCACGTGCAATGTAGTCTGTTAGGATGAAGTAGGACTATTGCTGTGGTTCCTGTTACAAGTGCTGAATATCTTTCCAAGGCAGGTTGTTCTTTCCCCCATGCCTTCTTGAAGGGTTAGTCAAGTTCTTCTCATTAAAAGTTTGTATCAGGACCTGCACAATATAACCTTAGAAATATCTTTAGCCATCAAGTTCTTGATGGTAGAGGTGTTTTCAGAAGGCTGGTAAACAAACTTTCAACTTAAGCAAATTGAAGACTAGTTTTCCAGCTAAAAAAATAGTCTAAAGACTAAACAACAATGCATACAATGACTAACAAGAGTCAAAGTTGTTAAGCCAGATACATTTAGTAATAATGGACTATCTTCTACCCGCTATTAGAAGTATATTAATGCATTTGTGTGAGCCCCTCTATGACTAACTTACATTTGCATCTAACAACTCTCCAGCTAACATTTTCTGCTTAGCTCCTGCTGCAATGGTAGAACCCCGAGTAGCCTTGAGAAGCACTAGGCATGCATTAATAAATCAGAAACTTGAATCTACTATTCTGATTTTTGCCCTTTCAACATAGCTGCAAGTAATATATATTACAAGTAATAGACTTATCTACAGATAGGTTATACCTGGTGTGTTCACACTTAGACATAACAAGTACCTGCTTGAAGGCAAGTGGTAGAGGAGAGATAGTAGACAGCTGGAGAACTGTTGCCCTCCATGTCTGGAATGCAAGAGCAGCATTACTTGCCAGAAAGATGACTAAATACAGGCTGTCATACTGAAGAGTCTAACCCAAGGCTGTCTGCTTAGTGTTATTAGAGAGACAACTGAAAAGAATATTGAACTACATTGCTTGGCAAGTGAAGCTGTCTATCATTCCTACAATTCAGTAAGGTCTAGATCAGCAATGAGCCCACCACTCAGTTCAGAAAGCCTGTTTAACTGTTCCGTTTAGGCCATAGGTAGGTGCTGCTCCTATCCTCAGTATCAGCTGCAAACTAGGTAAAGATCTTAGTACTCTAATTAGTCGTGTCAGCTACAGATGTTGGCATGTACCATTGCTGGTGCAGGATCATGCCCATGAAACGACACAGACTTCTTACCATTTAGCCAACTTGCCAACTGCTATTTCATCAGTTGAACAGAACAGTCTGTTCTCATCATATCAGTGCATCAGTCTCCTCTGAGCTGTTTGGTTTTTAGCAAGAACATAGAAATTCAAACGAAGTTCTGCACACTTGAAGCACAGCCAAGTGAATATCCCTAA